TTTCAAAATTTCAGCCCTGAGTCGGGTACAGCAATGTAAAACCCATCAATTTACAAAAGAGGTTGGATTAAAATTGGGTTTCTGGCAGATGGAACAAATCAACTTCACTTGTCTAGATGGCTAAACCCTTTTTACTAATATTTATGGAAAACAGGTTCTAAATTACTTTACCCTCTTTTTCAAAATTTGCATTTTAAAAAGATGGCAGAGTTAAGGGTTCTGTAGAAGACCAGACAGGACATTTGCATCTCAAAGATACAGGCAAGTTTCTCCTAGGATGACTTTTTTTCCCCTTTGTTGGTCTCTGAGCAGACAAAGCCATTACAATCTTTCGGGCCTTTTTCATATTTCTCTGGGTGCGTTCAGCCTTTTCGGCCGTATCCCTATTATTGAAAAGCAAATAAGCCAGTTGGAACAAATCATTCATTGGAGTCTGAGGACCAGCAGTTGCTTTCTGAATTTTGCTCCTGATGTCTGGGGCAGACTGGGCCATGAAATGCATAGCCCAAAGGTCCGGGACCTTGGGGGAGGAGGGATCCACATATGTTCGGGATCCATGGCCCTGTAGGGTGAGGTCCCCTAGTTGGCATTCTGAGGTTGTAAGAACGAACGGTTTTGTACTTCTCCAGAAACTCCCTTGACCGGGATAGACTGAGAAGTTTTCTGTGCCACCTTGATGTTTACCACAGAATATGTGGCACCCATATCCATTAGAAAGTCAGTCAACTTGTTCCCCACTGTCAAAGTTACCCGGGGCTCCTGAGGGGAAATTAGAATTGGACGCCTCAAGTCTAAAGGAGTCCCCTGGCCTCTTACAGGATATCGGCGCAAGGGAAATTGCCCTGCTGCAGAAGTGGCTCCCAGTCCAAATTGATTGCTCTATCGGGTCTTAGATGGTGATACTAAACCAGGTTCCTGTGCTCCAGGGGTTACTATAGAAACTGCTATTTGATCCCCATGGGTAGGGGAACCAGGAGGTGGTGAATATGTTGGCAGCAGGGGGTTGGGGGGGTGCAGGTGGAACACCTGCTGGTGAAGACTGCTCAGCCACTGGGGGAGCTGGATAGGCTGGAGAGGGGGTTAAGTTTTGAAATAACATGTCCCCACTCTAATTTTCTCCCTCTTCCCCCTGTAGAATAAGTTCCTTCTTAGGTTTTCTTTCAGATCGCTGCACCATAAGGTGGCAGCCCTCTGACTCCTTTTCCTCCTGATGCAATAACATAAATGCTTCTACATACGGAATCTCATCTCTTTTCCCTGCTCTTTTGCAAAACACTTCTAACTACGAGATCATATAATTGAGTGAGCCATTCAGGGGCCATCGTCCTTCTGATCCTAACGTATATTGGGTCCACACCCTATTACAAGAGTATATCATGTCTTTCTTAGTCATAGGCTCACGGCTATGTTTTGCCCATTTATCTAATATACGCCTCAAAGGGCTCTCTCTCGGGATAGATGGAGTATTTCCCATTTTTATAAGTTTGATAACATCAAAACACAAAAGACGCAAATTCCAACACAAAAGGCACAAACAAATTCAAGCATCGATGCACACAAAACCAAAACAAAACCAAGACCAAAACCAACGAACTAGTTCCCAACGGACCAGTTCCCAAAATCAGGTAGAGTCCAACAACAATTCCCCTCTCCAACAGGGTACCCCAACCAGATTGGCTTGTCCCATAAAGGAAAAGCCCAAACAGAGGGGGGAATATGTTCCCTGTGTGCACGCCAGAGCGACTTACCCTCCAAAATCGAGTCCGTCGACTCGTAGAAGTTTGTCGGTTCCTTGCTTCAACTGCCCAGTGCTGGGGTAGCCGGTGCTGCTTCAGGGAACTCTGAAGGGAAGATCCTCAGGACAAATGATCCTGGCAGCTGCTAGGGCCTCGCCCCGATATTCCCCAACGGAGACCTGCTAGCCACGAGCAGCAAGGTTCCCAGCTGGCTCAGCCAGATTTGTTACCGAGTCCAAGCTCACTCTGCTCGCCACACAACTGGCCAATAAATCGGGAGACAAGGCGCTGAGGCAAGGAATACGACTTTATTCGGAAAGCGGCAGACCGAGAAGATGGCGGACTAGGGTCCCCAAAAAACCATCTTATCAGAGTCTGGATGTCAATTTCTTTTATAGAATCAGAGAGGGAAGTAAAGTAAAAAGGCAGAATAGAGAGGGAGAGGCGGGGAGGAAGTAAAGTAAGAAGGGCCATCAGTCTTGCAAAACATCTCCTGACATGGCCAGCCTTGGGGAGGGGAAGTGTTAATTTCTTCTTTCTTGCAGCCATTCACAGGTGGGCAGGGTTCCCTGAGAGAGGCCATGATGTATGATTATAAGAACGAAAGCAGGGCTTCCCTGGTGGCGCAGTGACTGAGAGTCCGCTTGCCGATGCAGGGTACATGGGTTCGTACCCTGGTCCGGGAGGATCCCACATGCCGCGGAGCGGCTGGGCCCGTGAGCCATGGCCGCTGAGCCTGCGCGTCCAGAGCCTGTGCTCCGCAACGGGAGAGGCCACAAGAGTGAGAGGCTCGCGTACCGCAAAAAAAAAAAGAAAGTAACGAAAAGCAGAGGCTACAGTCAAAGAAACAGATCCAACATGCAGTCAAAATTGGCTCTTCCCCGTTGCATCCCCGTGGGACCACTGCACAGTGTGAGGACTTGCCTCCACCACTCCCGCAAGTTTCTCAGTTGCCTGAGAAAGCCCTTCTCGGCCAGGAGGAGATGTCCCTTCTTCGGAGCTAAAAGCTCTCATGTAATATTTGCACTTTTATCCCAACACGTTCTCGCATAGGTAGCTGATTTGAGGGGAAACGTCAGGTCAGCCTCCTCCCTGACCACTCAGCCCAGACCGCTCAGCACCTTTCGACTGAGCAAATTACAGTGTCTTTCAACTGGGCTCTCCTAGTATCTTTCAAATGCGGAGGCAGGTACCTGTTAGACACCACCAAATAAAACTCAGGATCTTCAACCAATAATCAGGAGCTCCAAGAACCAGGAGAGGTTCACCCGAATTTGTCTGGATTCTCCGAGGAGGCGGATGGGCGCCAGAGGCCTCTGCTGGTGCAGATTCCAGACCCTCGTAGAGTTCAGGTGAAGGAGAGAAGTCTGCTCTAGGTCCCTTCGTCAGTCACCAAAACTGTCGACTGAAAAAAAATGCACAACCTTGTCGACAAAAATTAATCGATAGTCAATCAATGAAAGAAGTGGAAAATTTTATTCGAGCCAAATGTGAGGATTATAACCCAGAAACAGCATCTCAGAAAGCTCTGAGAACTGTTCCACCCGTTAGATGTCAGAGTTATATAAGTTTTTTGGAGCAGAGGGCTCTACGTTAAATGACGTATTATTGACAGTTTACACAAACCAGACCTAAATGTCATCGTGGCCCCTTACAAGATCAAGAGGAATGTTATCTTTTAAGGGGTTGCCTTGTTGATGGTAGGAGAATGTAGCTCTTTATGGTTGAGCAGGTATGTCTGACAATGAGGGAGGTTTTGTCGAGACATAAGGCAGATACACCATGCACACTGGGCAGAAAATTTTTTGTTTAAGTTTTTCTTGTCTTGCATAAAATATGAATTTTATTTCACAGCCTAAAAGTTGAAAATTATGTTTTTATTCAACAGACTTAAGCCCAGAAGACAGCCTCTCAGATAGCTCTGAGGGACTGCTCCGAGGTGGCAAGGGAAGAGCCAGGATGTATAGGAGTTTTTGCAACAAAAACCAGGTGGTCAGGACAGCAAAAGATTACTGTTAATTAAAGAAAACCAGACCTCTCAGGTTAATGAGTTTAGCGCTTTTCTCTGTACAAGATGCCAGAGTCAGGGCTCGTTGAAATCATTCCTTTGAAATGCACCTTAGCTATATAGGGCCAACATCCTGTTCTTTCCATTCCTGAATCCCCTCAGGGTGCACTGTCGAGGGCCGCTGCTGTGGCTGAGGGGGCAGCCTATTTGTCTCCATCCTGAGCTCCCCTAGCGCTCACTGTTGGGGGTGGCTGTGGGGCTGAGATGGCTGCAGTATCCTTTGTTTGCTGAAACGGCAGGCAGCCATATCTTTGTCTACAATTTCCACCCCCTCTATTTAATGCGTATTTTGGTGATCCTATTTTTAACTTAACAGAGCCCTTCCTTGTTCACTTTTTGTTGTTCTCTTTTCAAAGCCCTCTCTTCTCATTTTATTATACGTCACCTTGACTTTCTCAAGATGAGAAGTTTAAAGTTGTATGTTTTCTGTTACCTGAGTTAGTTCTGTTTCCTAAAGGAGACTTTTCTTTCTATTTTTAATCTTATCTTTGTTTATCACTTTCATGCTGCTGGTTTTTTTCATTTGTATAGTGATCTTTAATTGTTCATATTTCAAAGTAAAGGCTAGGTTGATTTTTCCACGTAACAGATGTGGGTTACCTCTGCTGTTATTATATGCAGCTATCATTGCCCACTAGGTCTCTCCCATGAATAAGAAGTTGAGTATGTGGCAGAGATAAGCAGACAGAGGGGCAGGCTTTAGGCTGAGAGCCTTTATATTTAAGGATTAAAAGAGCTTTATCCCATGATGCCTACTTCTACCATAGCATCCCTAATTCTCTCAAGGGAGTTCTTTCCTTTTTTTTTTTTTTTTTTCTTTTTTTTCCTTCAGTGGGTAAGAAAACCCTCTCTGTTTAGTTTGGAGAATGGCCGCCTGAATGTCTCTACACTGTGTTTGTGGGAAGAGATGGAGAATTGGTCTCACCCCGTAGCTCCCTCCTGCATATTTTGTGCTGCAACTTCTCAACTTCATTTAATCCATCAACACACTTCTATGTGCATTTCATCTTCCAAAGCTTTTTTTTTTCATCTCCTCTACCGATCTTCCCATTTTCTTTTTTGTTATGAGGCTTTTCCCTCTTATTAGTCTTTACTATCATATTATTAAGGCCTCAAGGGAGAGGAAAGATAAAAATATGTTCTCAGAACACCATCCTTGAAGCAGACATGCTCATGACATTTTTTTCCTCCACTAGCTCTTTCCTGTGGGCTTCCTGAGGCCCCCAAGAACGGAATGGTGTTTGGCAAAGAGTACACGGTGGGGACCAAGGCTGTGTACAGCTGCAGCGAAGGCTACCACCTCCAGGCAGGTGCCGAGGCCACTGCAGAATGTCTGGAGACAGGCCTATGGAGCAACCACAATGTCCCCGCACAGTGTGTCCGTGAGTCCTTGGGTAGGGGAGGGGGGTGTGTCAAAGGGCTGGATAAGCAGCTGAAAAGATTCCTGCAAGGAGCGAGCTAAAAATCCAGTAATGGGAAAAGACATGCCCATGGAAGCTGGGGACTCAGAGAGCTGAGACAAGTGGGTACTGCCATCTACCAACCTGAGTTCCCATTTGAAACTGCTTCAAAGCATTGATAGACCATTGCTCCCTGAGATGTTTCCATAAACCATCACAGAATGTAGGAATGACTGGTCCACTTCCTTTTAGGTGGAAAAACTGTCAGAAAGTTGGCATGAATGTCCTTTGATCACAGAACTCCAAAATAACAGAGATATACTTCGGTTTTAAGGCCAAAGTCACACACTGGCAGCCTAATGGGCTATATCTAGTCTGAAGATACAAGGTTTTGTGTTTTTGTTTTTGTTTTGCTTTGGTTCTTTGGCCTATGCAGTGCTTTATTAAAAATTTTTGAATTTCTTCCCAACATTTTAAAATCAGAAAATTTTACATAAAAATTCGTATTTCTAGCTTCTCTTGAAAAGGGCAGATCTGACCAATTGGAATTTGCAGTCTCACATCCACAGTCAACACTGACTGAGTGCCACCTCCCTTTCTTTTTTTTTTTTCTTTTTTTGGCGGTACGCGGGCCTCTCACTGTTGTGGCCTCTCCCGTTGCGGAGCACAGGCTCCGGACGCGCAGGCTCAGCGGCTATGGCTCACGGGCTCAGCCGCTCCGCGGCGTAGTGGGATCTTCCCAGACCAGGGCACGAACCCGTGTCCCACTGCATTGGCAGGCGGACTCCCAACCACTGCGCCACCAGGGAAGCCCTCCCTTTCTTTTTTAATTTGGCATATCTGCCCACCCCAGCTTGCTAATTCCCCACCCAGCTCACTTCACTCATTGACCACACCTGCCTGGGGACGAACGGCTCTTGGATTCATCATTACTGCGTTACGGTCTCCCAGTCCCCAGCTCTGGGTTGTCAGCGTCTTCCATAATTAATTTATTAATCCTCTCTGCGTTTTACCTCCCCAGCTGTGACCTGTCCCGACGTCAGCAGCATCAGTGTGGAACACGGCCGATGGAGGCTCATCTTTGAGACGCAGTACCAGTTCCAGGCCCAGCTGATGCTCATCTGTGACCCTGGCTACTACTACACTGGCCAGAGGGTCATCCGCTGTCAGGCCAATGGCAAGTGGAGCCTCGGCAACTCTATGCCCACCTGCCAAAGTAAGCCCAGGAGGGCAGGGTGGGCAAGTTTGGCACAGTGCCTACACCCTGAGCCGTCTCATACCTGGGCTGAATTGGGGTTGGGGGGGAGAAGAGGAGTATAGCCAGGGACTGCAGTGAACCTCCTTCTGATCACTCGCCTAGAACCAGGAGCTGGGGAGAGGCCTATTCCTTTAAGGAAGCACTTCTCAGCATCTTGTCATCTTATTAAAAAGCTGCCTCTGTCCAGGTGAGCATCCACTAATTCATTTACTCCACATTCATACCAGGTATTGTAGAGGTATGAGGAGAAAAGGTTGTGGTTCCTGCCTACAAGGAGCTGAGAGTCTACTGGAGAGGCAGACAAATAAAGAAGCAAGGATAACAAAGTGTGATAAGACCTATAATGGGAGTGTGTATAGGGGGAATGAATATAACGCAAGGGACCAGGCCACCTATGTGTGCCTGCCTCTTCTCCACTGTTTGTTTTTCTTTGGTTCTTTAAGATAGTTTCAAAGGTCAGGGTCCCTGGGAAGCACCTCTGAGATGGAGATTTGTTCGGGAATGCCCTTGGGATCACCACCTGGGGAAGGGAAGGGGAGGGGAGAGTGAGGGGAGGCAAGAGGAGGAGAAGAAGTGGGGCTGGGAAGATGGAGAAGGTGATCTCTGATGCAGTATCAGAGAAGGCCTCAGCTGACCCTGCAAAGAGCTCTGAATCTTGGTGGCCCTTCAGAATTGTCACAAGTTAGGGCAGGAGGCCTTTATACTTCCACACTGACCAAACCCTGGGTGCAGGCTGCCCCAGGAAGAGAGCATGACCTTAGGTGGGAGGACTTTTTAACCAAGGCAGTCTGAAGAGGGCTCGCAGCGAGGGGTTGTTTGCCAGCAGCTGGGGGAAGAAGTCCTTCAGTCCTAAAAGGGGGTCTAAGTGGGTCAGCACAGCATCCGCCAGTAGGGATATTCTGATGCTATTTACTGAATCCGTAAAGATGTGATAGAGGAAGTAAGTGTTTGTGAAGGGACAGAAGGAGATCACTTATCAGGGCACAGGGGGACATTTGAGACTGGGTAGGAGGAGTGGTATCTTCCCAACACCTATGACCCAAGACACTGTTACCTTTGTTCATCCAAGTCCAGACTCCGAAGTGGAACCATGTATGTGACAGAGTAGGAGTCACGAGCGTGGCACAGCTTCCTTACAATGAAGGCGCCACGTCTCAGTGCAGCCAGGGGCCGTCCGCAGTGCTCTGTGGAGAACGAGGGTAGGGCTGCTGCGGGGCTCGGCAGAGAGCACAAGGGGAGTGCCTGGCAGTATCTGCCCTGGACGCCGAGGGGCACACCACAGAGTCGCCATCTCTCTGGCGCCGTGGTTCCTAACAAGGGTGCACATCCAAAACCCCTGAGGAGTTTTGGTTTTCTTTAATACACACGCTTGGGCCATATCTCCAGAGATTGTGAATCGTGGGTCCAGAGTGCAGCCTGGACATTTTTAAAGCTCCTCGGGTACTTCTGGCGACACCTCCAGTTAAGAATCACGGGCCCAGCGTGACAGCACAGCAGTCACGGTGGCGACCCGTATTCTGGTCAAGAGTCCCATTAGAGTAGGTTAAACAGATCTTATTTTTGTCATTATTCTTGCTAATCAGAAGCAGCACATGTCCCATCTCTCAGGGCTGGCTTCCTGAGCATTTTGTGGTCTTTATAGTCATCTCCTGTGGAGAGCTCCCCATCCCGCCCAATGGGCACCGCATCGGAACCCTATCCGTCTATGGAGCGACGGCCATCTTCTCCTGCAACTCCGGGTACACGCTGGTGGGCTCCAGGGTGCGAGAGTGCATGGCCAACGGGCTCTGGAGTGGCTCCGAAGTCCGCTGCCTTGGTAAGTGACCTCCCTGGACCTCTCCTGTCCCTTTTTCCCTCCTCAGGACAGGTTAGATCTTTCCAAAGCTGCATTCCAATCTTTGAACCGTACTGTTTTACCTACTGTCATAAAATGCTTAATCCAAACAGCTATTGGCATCTACCATAAGCAAAACCCTGAACAAGCTTCCCTTGGAGCGCCCAAATGAATGAGAAGGACTTCAAGTCGGAGGAGACAAACCTTTGAGGGGCTCTCATTCTGATCAAAAAGACACTCCCTTCTTATTGGCCCTTGTATGATGGGTGAAGCCCCAGTCTCCGCCTCCAGGGACACTTTACAGAGACACATTCCTGCAGCACACCTAAAATACCATTTATATTATTGGTTTTTCCGTAAGATCTTAGGGGAAAACCCAGACGAACTTTTTGACCAACCCAATATATATCAGCAAATTTTACATACATATGTATACAAAAATACAATATTATATGTACTATATTATATAATAAATAAATATTTTTGTCATTAGCTTGTTTTATGACAAAAATATGTCAGTGTATGACAAAAGCATAAAAAGCAACCTGGCTTACAGAGGACAGAGTTATCATTTCCCCCATGGTTAATCCAGTCCCTGCCTAAACATTAGATACTAAAGTTCTCTCTTCTCTCACACCTTTCTTGGACCCCTCAACTCCAAAGGAGGGTCCCAGCTACACAGACCCAACAGCATAGATTGGACGGTCTGTTCCAGAGTGTACAGTACTGCCCTCCCCCTGTCTCAGGCCTCTGTTAGAGACACAGTCATGAGTTATTTCCACACAGAGCCAAAAAATGCTAGTGGAAACATGAGAAATACACTCTACCTAAACCCCATTTAAAAAAAATAACTCACCTAGGTTTATATTATCTGTGTTCCTTGCCACTCAGGAAAGAAGGATGAATTTAGCTGAGCCACCTGGTCTTACATGGTCATTTTCAACACGACCAGACTTTTTAAATTCCTTTTCAAATTCTTTTCCCATTTAGGTTGTTACATAATATTGAGCAGAGTTCCCTGTGCTATACAGTAGGTCCTTGTTGGTTATCTATTTAGAATATAGCAGTGTGTACACATCAATCCCGAACTCCCTAACTATCCCCCCACCCCCACCCCTTTCCCCGCTGGTAACCATAAGTCCGTTCTGTCAGTCTGTAAGTCTGTTTCTGTTTTGTAAATAAGCTCATTCACAGCTAGGCTTTGACTGCCTTAATGAGACCACGGTGCCCTCCATGCAGTCGATGCTCTGGAAATGCTGGCTGATGAGAAAAAGAGGGGGACGTTCCCAGAGGCAGGGCAGTAACAGTGATCATTTCTCACCCGTGTACAGACACAGAAACTAAAGCTCAGAGATGGGTAGCCATTTGGAATGCAACCTTGGGATTTGGGGTTGCCAGGTCTTCAGCACCACTTCTATCACGTCTAGGATTCCTGAAGTCAGTCCTGGATGCTGCAGTCAGGGGGAGGTGGGAAAAACGATGGGTGGTCCTTTTCCCCACCGTCCATGTCTCCCCCTCCCCTCATTTGACCAAGTTCCACCTTATTTTCTATAAGCTCCTCTTCAAGTTACTCTCTTTCCCCACATCCCACCAAAGCTGGACACTGCGGGACCCCTGAGCCCATCGTCAACGGGCAAATCAATGGGGAGAACTACAACTACCGGGGCAGCGTGGTGTACCAGTGCAACGCCGGCTTCCGCCTGATCGGCATGTCTGTGCGCATCTGCCAGCAGGATCATCACTGGTCAGGCAAGACCCCTTTCTGTGTGCGTAAGTATGGTACCCACTCTCCCTAGTCACGGGCTCAGGTGCAATGTGGACTTTCTCTTGTGTTGTCTTGATTAGGTTAGCTAGAGGGTTTTGTATGTTTTGTTAATGTTTTTCAAAGACAATAATTACATCTGTTGTTTTCAGTTTTCTGCATCATTAACCATTGCTTTCACCTTTATTATTTTCTTCCTTGTGATTAACTTCTTTGTTCATTTTCTTGCTTTTGAATTAAGAATTTAGTTCATTTATTTTCAGTCTTTCGTTTTTATTGACTATTATGGATGTAAGTGTTTAAGGTTATAAAATTTCTTCTGATCACTGCTCTAATCATACCCCACAGATTATAAAAATTAGGGTTTTATTATTTCTCAGAAATTCTGTAATTTTGATATTAATTCCCCCTTTCGCCTAGAAGTTTTTTTTAATAAAAGAGTGTGTGGTTTTTATTTCCAGATGGAAGGACCTTTTTGATTTTTACATTGATATTAATTTCTAATTTATTGCACTGTATATAATATTTCTACTTCATGGAATTTACTGAGGCTTCCTTTGTGGCCTAATATTTGATCAGTTGTTATGAATGTTCCATGTGCATTTGAGAAGAAAGTGTATTAGTGTGTTAAGTTCTATGTATAATCGTAAGACGTGCCTTATTGATTTTGTAGTTTATGTCTTCTGTATGCTTACTTCGATTTTTGTCCACCCGACCTGTTTTGTTCTGAAATTTGTGTTTCAAAGTTTTCTTTCATCAGTGTTCTTCTATTTTTTCTTACATTTCCCGTAGTTTCTGTTATGTAACAGTAATTGCTCTATTTGGTACATAGATATTCATAACTATTATATCTACATTGCAAATTGTGGTTTTAGCCTTTAAAAAAATCTTCATTATCACTTTTAGTATTTTCTACTTTGAATTGTACTGTGTCTAATACTATTAGGCTTATGCCCGCTACTCTCAGCCTTTGCCCATTTGCCTGGTATACCTTTAACCACCCTTTATTTTAGACTTTCTGAATCACTTAAATTAGATGTGTCTGTTATATACATCATAGAGTTGGGCCTTGCCTTCTGAGCCAGTTTGAAAATCTTTTTCTTTTAATAGGTTAGTCAAATTCATTCACATATATTGTTATAACTTATATGTTTGGTTTTAATTCTGTCATGTTTAATTATTATGTGTAAAATATAATACACATATTTCTTTCTTTCTCTGTATGATGTGTTCTCTTTGCTTTTTTTGCTTTGCTTTTTTTCTTTTTTCATTTGATATTTAGGAAAGGTTGTTAACTTGTATGTCCCTTTCCTGTAATCAGTGCATTGACATACCAGGATCCTTTTTCAATATGTTCACATTTAAGATAGACTTTCTCTTTCTAGCAGTGACTTTAGATCAATATTCCCCTGCTCCCCTCGTCTCCTCTCCTCTCCATACAGCCTTGCTCTCTACAAAGGCTTGCGACAGAAGCATGAGAAATAGTTCTCCCTGGGTTTAGTGTTTATTTTTCTACTTACACGTAACTTAAAAGTTTACAGCATTGTCTGTCTTCTAGTTATGCTGCAGGCCTGGACTTTCTACAGTTTTATTTTTTCTTCTTGTTAGTCTGCATTTTTGGGATTTAGATGGCCACTGTTTATTCTCAGTTGCCTGGAAGTAATTTGGAAAATTTTTCACTTTCTAAAGTTCCATAAAGTGAGCCTTTATATAAAGTGCAGGTTTTGTTCTTAATTTTTGTAAGGCAGGTTTTTGTTTTTAATTCTTTTTCATTTGGTTTTTCATATATGAGATGGAACAATGAAATAATGAGCCTTAACAAGCAATGCATGAAAACTAGTCTTAATAGTTTCTTAAGTATTAAGAAATGCTTTACAGAAAGGAAGGTTTACAGAAAGGAAGACCTATCTATATTCAGTCAGCCTTCTAGATGTGTCTAAACAAAACATGTTTGGTTTAATCCAGGAAATGCAAATTCAAATGCCTTTAAGAAATTGACACAGAATATGTGTGAAAAGATTTGGGTTACCAATAATAGGGAATGTTGGAGTCTGAAAAAATGGAGGATGTCTGCCGAACCTAAGATACTTAATTTTGCACCTGGTCCTTACTGAAAGGCAGTATAGTAAAGCATTTGGACACTTGGACCCTGGACCTAGATTGCCTGGGTTCAAGTTCCAGATCTACCACTATATAGCATGTGGCTTTAAGCAAGTCAGCTTTTCTCACTAGGTCTCTTTCCTCATCTATGAAAAGCAGGTACCTCAGAGACTATTGCGAGGATTCATCAATAATGTGAAATGGTCAGATGCTGCTGTTGCTGTTGTGATGAGAGTGTGGTGGTGGCGGTGATGCCACCGCCCTGTCACATCACAGAATCCAGGATCTCTTGTACCAAGCTCCATTCTCTCCTGGAGCTCAGAGTTTTAGGAAGTATCTGGAGTAGGACGGCAAGAGTAATAGAACAAGTGATTGCTCTGTGGCAGGTACTGTGTTAGCTGCCATCACCTATGGACTCAAGGTTTATGATATCAACCAGACTCTCAGAACTTTCCAGCCGCCCATCTACATTTCCTCAGTCAGCTCCCTTGTCCATTCCACACAATTTCACAGCTAATTCACAATTTCACCTCCTTTCTGAACACCTGTATTCTATTTGTCAGCAAATAGCAAATAGTGAAGATGTCCTGAAAGCAGAGAAGCTAGGTTTAGAACTCAGACGAGCCACTTAGAAACTGTGCCTCTTGAACAAGTCCCCAGACTCCTCTGAAACTCTCTTTTCCTATGAGGATAACGATGGTGCCTACCTCAGGGGGTTGTGAGGATTAAATGAAATAATGCATATAGACCCCAATAATTATTAGCTAATCATATAATCTCACTTTCTACTGTGCAGAGAAAATAGAAGCCATCAGGTAATAACCCCTTCCACTTCCTGCTTCCCTGGCTCGCACGTCTGTCCTTGTCCCTTCCCTCCCATCTAGAAGGAGGCCCAAGGCTAATCCCTCCATGGGTCTCTGGACCTCCTTCCCTTCTGCCTTCCTAGTAAGCTTAGTCTGTTTTCACTTCTCTCCTCTGAACTGTGGACCTTCCATTTCTATTAATTTCCCTCAGCCTGTAAGACCGAATTCAAGAAACCTTTCCTTAGTACCTACTTTGTGCCAGGTGCTGTGTTAGGTGTTGTGGGTAAAGATGAATTGAATGTGCCGTAGTCTCGGCCCTCAGGAAATCTGGGTCCAGTGGTGCATGTGCTCGAGGTCCAGTTAAGCTCCAGTCCAGCAGAACTCCTCTTTTCCTTCCCAGTGGTGTGTTCTCCTTCTCCCTTTGCGCCTGTATTCGTCAGGGCTCTCCAGAGAAACAGAGCCCTCTGGGCCATCTGACGAGTCTTGAACTCTCCCCATGGGTCTGCGACACTCCCACCTCCTGTGAGCTTGATTTACTGCTTTGCTGACCACCCCTCCGTGTCCTTTGTGGGCATTTCGGTCAATCTGCAGCTCAGAAGCTGGTACTCCTCCCAAAGGTTTTACTCCTCAGCCCTCTTCTCTCAGTCTATACAAGTGGTTATTTTAGCCTTTGGGGACATGACCCTTTGTGAGTCTGGTGAGAAAATGGATCCTCTCCCAAGCTGATCGCAAACACCCAATATTTTGCATATAATTTGAGGGGATTCACAGACCCTATGAAGCTTACCTCCATTCTCCCACCACTTCGCTAACCTGGCAAAGTCCTGCTCAGCCTTGAGACCCAGCTCAGAGGGCATGCCATGCCCTCTGTGGACCCTCCTTAACCACTCCCTCCCTAGCAGAGGGTAGGTGCCCCTCCTGGGCACTGGCCTGTCTCGGCACAGGCCATGGTGTTGTGACAGCCTGCATCCCTGCCTGCTCTCCTACTGGGCTGAGAAGTGAGCCCCCTGAGCTCCTTGCATATCATCAGTATGTAGCAGAGTGTCTCGCACTTAGTGCGCGGTAAGCATTTAATGAAGAGCAAACGTATGAATCTGTTTTTAAAGCAACCCTGTTAATGCATATTGAAATCCTTACTTTACAGATAGAGGAGCTGAGGCGTAGAGCGAGTTGTCCAAAGGAAGGAAGAGACAGAGCTGAACTATAAACCCTGGGTTGCTGGCCTCCTGGTGCATTCTCGTCCCACCACACCGGGCAGTCTTGAACCCCTGTAGTCCGTTATAACAGCACGCCTCTGCCCAGCTCTCTCTGCTAGAGTCAGGGATGCTACTGTTGGGATTTACCTAAGAGAATGGTTCCAGAAAGACAGCAGACGTGGCCACAGCCAAAAGTGGGTCCTACTTGGCCTTGTTCCCCGACCCCCGTTCATACCATTTGGGTCTGGGGTGGGGTCCTCATAAATCCAAGTGTTGGGCTAAGAAAGCATTCCTCGTGGCTCCTCAACCGCTCACAGCTAAAAATCCAGAACCAAGGGAGAGGCCTCAAAGCCATCAAGTGGGAGTTCAACCCAAAGGGACTAGGTACCAGGCAGACACTAAACAGAACTAGGGATGAGGGAGCAGAGCAGAAGCCAGGCATCCATCCATTCATGGCTCACTCATTTGTTCATTCGCTCAGCAAATATTTATCAAGCTCTTCCTGTATGTCAGGCACTGATACATGCAAGAAAGATAGAGCAAGGAGCGAAACAGAGTCCCTGTCCCAGGGAGCTTCCATTCAGGTAGAGGGAGACAGGCAATGAACACACGAGGAAGTACATGCAGAGTGTGCCAACTGCTATGGAGAAAAGCAGGGCAGGGCTAGGGGGCTGGGCAGTACTGGGGAGGTTGTTTATCTGGTCGTAAGGGAAGGCCTCTCTGCTAGTGACATCTGAGGGGGCACCGGAGGATATGAGTGCAGGAACCAAGGGATGTTCCAGCCAAGAGGAAAGCAAGTACATAGGCTCTGGGGCAGGAACTTGCTTGTTCAAGAAAAGTCGAAGAGGCCAGCGCCACTGGGTGGAGTGAACTCCACTCCTGGGAGGAAGGGGGGAAAGCCTGAGCCCTACAAGCACCAGAACACTCTTCCTTCCCTGCCCAGGGTTGAACAAATTACAAAAGGAAACAGAGTCATGGGTGGAAGACAAAATATCACTTTTATTCCTGATAAAGACTAAGTTGGAACCCATAGCTTAATGTGAGAGCCAAGTGGAATCTGCTAAATAAACCCCAGAACGGGGTGGATTCACACACAGTCAGAGGCAGCACTGCACTGGGGCGGGCATCGCTCCATTGCTGGGGAGAGCCTGTCTCTGGAGGAGTGGGGCAGAGCAGCGCTGCCCACAGGCCGCCGGGTCCCAAGAGGAGAAAGGCAGGGCTGAGCCTTTATTCTTCCCAAATTGCACGATGGGCCGTTCCACGTTACCCGGGGCAGAGTAAGGAAGAGAGCAGAGAAAGGCCAGGAATTACATGAATTGAACTCCCTTCACGTGGAAGGAGTGGGGGAAGGGTTGTGCCCCCACTAAGAGCTCTGGTTCCCACTGGTCTGTCAGAGTGACCAGTCCCTCCACGCAGGCATGGTTAGTATTGACTCTGGCTCCGTCCAGATTGGCCCACGAACTAGGCTGGGTCTGCATGACATGAGGGATAGTCACCAGTGTATCTGGCGAAGAAGAGTGGAGTTGGGGAGCCAGGGGATAAGGGAGAGGAAACGAGGCGGGAGGGACAGAGAACGACGCTGTGAACCTAACACCCTGTGGAAGTCCAAGAATGACTTCTCTCGTGTTGTCCAAGCGGTGGACATGCCTTCAAAGAAAAGGGAATGTCCACATGCTGATTTCAGGGAAGCAGAATTTTGCAGCGAAAGAGACTAAAGTTAGACCTAAGGCTGAACTTCACTGATGGGTATGAGAAACGCCAGGTGAGGAGAGGATGGACTTTGGGGGATATGGAATAACAGGAGGGCTTACCTCTCCTTTGTTCTGATTACAGCGATTACCTGTGGACACCCAGGCAACCCAATGAACGGCCTCACCCAGGGCAACCAGTTCAACCTCAACGATGTGGTCAAGTTTGTTTGCAACCCTGGGTATGTGGCTGAGGGGGCTGCTCGGTCCCAGTGCCTGGCCAGCGGGCAGTGGAGCGACGTGCTGCCCACCTGCCGAAGTGAGTCACCCTTCTTCTCCCCTCCCCCACCCCCAGTACCTCTGCCATCTGTGGTCTGTGACCCACAAGCGGAAGCCAGTGGATTCCATTGTGGTGCTACTTTGACCAAATGGGGAAGACTTGGGACAGAAAAGAACCATAAATGGGGGCTTTCTCAACCCCTAGATACAGCCACATCAAATTTCTTCACTGATTATGTAAAGAAAGCAAAGGACATTCATCTTTCAAAATAGAAATGGAAAACTATCTTCTGTTTACATTTCGTAGACCCAATAATTCACCATTATCATATAGAGCCCCATTCTTGATGAAAGAAAAAAAACCCACAAGCGTTCAAATGAAAACTAAAAAGCCAACAGTCTAGGGGTTGGGATGAAGGGGGAGGGAAGAAATGAAACCACGGACTCAAGAGGCAGACTCTGAGTAGAGGATATTCCAGCCCCATTCGGTCTATTTAGGAAATAGCTTCTAAAGCTTTTAAAGGCTGCTCACAGCAATGAAGGGCAGTGGAGCTGTCTGCCTCCACCCAAGAGTGGCCTGGCAGGCTAGCTGAGGTTTGAATGGAGAGTCAGACAGAGTGAACAGTGAGCGAGGCCAGCCCTGGTCTGGAGGTTGATCAAGTCTTCACAGCTGTAAGGTGTGAGGGCTGAGACTCCCTCGGATGACGGCTCCTCCTCGCGGTGTTTGGGGGTGCATGGCGATTGGCTGTGCAGTGTGTCACAAGTCATTTGTAACTGATATTAAAGAACCAAATTTTTCAAATGATGTTTTAAAATCATTAAAGATACATTCACAGCTAACCTTAAAATAACATTCCTCTCAACATTTCAAGGTGCCATTTTGAGTGAGACTAGGTTCTAGGGAACACAGGGGAAATTGTCGTGACCTTGAGTTGACCTTCCTTCCATCACCTATCCAGGCAGGAAGGAGCTGAGAACTGATGCTTTGGGGTGTTGTTATCCCATTACCCCCTTCTCCTCAAGAACTGTGCTCTGTCTCCCCAACACAAGGTCCTGTCCTGTAACTTCAGCTCCCCCCGTCCCAGCCCCTTCCTGGGGTGCTGTACTCAAGAGCCGATCTTGAAAACAGACGGCTGGGGTAAAATCCTTAGAAATGATGGCCTCTGCTCCTTCTCCCCACCAGCCTATTCTCTACTCTGACAGAGTGACCTGCCTAAAATGCAAATCTGATCAAGTCACTCCATGTTTAAAACACCTTGAGAGACTTCCCACTGCCCTTAAGATAATAATAGTCTCCTCTGCTGGTTTAATGGGGCCCACAGACCTGGCCCAGCCTCCTGTCCAGCCCACTCTTCTCCACTTCGTCCACCCCCAGCCTCAGCTCTGCATTGGGTCCCAGCCACACTGAACCTCTTCCGGAGTCCTCACACAGTGCCCTGTGCCCATAAACCCCCCAGGGCACCAGACACAGTTTCCTCCAATGCATTCTTCTCTGTCCCCTCCCACCCTCTCTTTGTCTGGGTGATTTCTACCCAGTCATCAAGAGCCTCCTTCTGGGAAGCCTTTCCTGCTCCACCCCCTGCACGGGCTAGATGCTCTGCTTTGTGCTTGTGGAACATTCTCTGCTGTCCCTATCAGAGCACTTATCAAACAGGATAATTGTTCATTTGTCCCTTTCTCTCTAGACCAGTAGTTCTCAATTGGGGATGATTTTACCTGCTCCCCTGTCCCAACAGGGGACAGATGTCGGAAGACATTTTTGGTTGTCACAACTGGAGGGTTTCTATTGGCATCTAGTGGACAGAGGCCAGGGATGCTGTTAAACATCCTACAGTGCACAGGACTGCCCCCTCAATAAATAATTATCAACCCAAGATATCCTTCGTACCAAGGTAGAGAAACCCTACTCCAGATTGTAAATTCTGTCATATCCTCACTGCCCAGCACAATGCTTGGCACTCAGTATATCACGATAAACAACATGAATGAATAAAGGCTACTTACCTGTTTAGTGACTCCAACCGCTCTGAGCCTCAGAGAGGTTCATCAGAAGTTAAAACAGCTCACAACTGAAAAGCTTATCAAAGATTTTAAGTACTGGCCCTGCCCCCCTTATGATGCATATGAGATTCAGGTTAAATAATGGATATGAAAGTGTTTTGAAAGCAAAAGTACAGATCATCGGGCTTCCCTGGTGGCACAGCGGCTAGGAGTCTGCCTGCCAATGCAGGAGACACGGGTTCGAGCCCTGATCCGGGAGGATCCCACATGCCGCAGAGCAGCAGGACCCGTGAGCCACAACTACTGAGCCTGTGCTCTAGAGCCCGCGAGCCACAACTACTGAAGCCCGCGCACCTGGAGCCTGTGCTCCGCAGCAAGAGAAGCCCCCGCTCACCGCAACTAGAGAAAGCCCGCGCGCAGCAACGAAGACCCAATGCAGCCAAAAATAAATAAATTAAATAAATTTACTTTTTTTTTAAAGTACACATCATGGGTTATGAATAATATGGTCATTATTCTCAAATCTCACTCGATTTTGAGTTAAGCTGCTTTGGAAACACTTCAGGATTTAAAAGTCAAATTTATCCCCCAGGATTAATCTCCCCCTGAAATACTCATAAAAGTGATTCAAACAGTTTCCAGAAGAGCCCACCCGCCTTCCTCAGCTTTGCTGAGGGAGACATTGTATCAGGGATCTGCTCACAGAGAGAAGCCATCCCTGCCCTCAAGGGATTCTTGTATTCAAACAAATCACAATGGAGCGATCCAGGTTTGTACTGGGAGCACTGAGGAGGGAGAGGTTAACCAGTCTGGGAGGAGGTGGGAAGGCTTCTGCAGGGAGGTGATGTCTAGCTGGACATGGAAGAATGAATCCCTTAACCAGGTGATCAAGGTGAGGGGAGAAGTACAGCAGCCTCAGGACAAGCTCACCTTCCCAGGCAGGATCTCCTTTGTGTAGCCTGTCTTGGTCTGGAAATTTTGCTGTACTGGAAATACGTGCCTGTTTGGACTTTGGAATTCTCATTTAAAAGCATAGGAAAATCCTCGCGTCCAGGTCTCTACATCTAATCATCCCGTTCCATTGCAGTCATCAACTGTACAGATCCTGGGCACCAAGAAAACAGCGTTCGTCAAATCCACGCCAGCGGCCCGCACACGTTCAGCTACGGCACCACCGTGTCTTACCAGTGCAACCACGGCTTCTACCTCCTGGGCACCCCGGTGCTCAGCTGCCAGGGAGATGGCACATGGGACCGTCCCCGCCCCCAGTGTCTCTGTAAGTTGATGTTATCTACTCACAATGATCACCCGTGCCTTCTGACAGGATGGTCCATATCAAAGAACAGCCCTCCTCTGTGTGTGTGTGTGTGTGTGTGTGTGTGTGTGTGTGTGTTCACGATGACAGTCACTGTGGCTGCTCTGCGGATGTCACAGAGCATCTTGGGCCCTGTTGGGTTAGTTGCCACACCAGTTCTCATGCTTTCTTTGTTCCTGGCTACAGGCTTATTCTCCTTCCTCTCTAGTGCTGCCACCAACCTCTTCAGCCTCCAGGGTTCCCTTCCTTCAGGGGTCCCGGCTGCATAGCGGGACACTGTCTCCCATGTTACACCCTCCTTGCTTTTCCAGAAAGACAACACATGAACCCCTTTCTCTTGAAAGACTGAAGCAGAAATGCCACGGACCCTGGAGGCAGACCGACCTGGATTTGAATTCTGGTTCTGCCACTAAACATGCTGTGTGGTTTGAAAGAAGTCCATTAACCTCTCAGATCCTCCATTTCTTCATCTGTAACAATGATGCTAATGCCTCTTCCATAGGGTTATTAGAGGATTAAGTGAGAACATCCATTAAAAGTGCCTAGTACAATATGTCTGGTATATAGTAGCTACTCAATAAACAATAACTGCTTTAACTGTAATTAGGAAAAAATATGGGGACACCATGTGGGTTAGAAAAGGATGGGGGAGGCACTCAGAATCCTGACATCTGGTTGCTAGCCTCACACATCCTGAAGAGAAAATCAGTTCCTTGGGCTGCTGATCTCTTGTCGCTAATGATGAACCCTGTGGGTTACTCTCTCCCCTCTCTTCCCAGTAGTAGAGGTGAAGATGCAGTCCCGAGGGACTGATGGGCATTGAGCTGGTGCCATTCAGTAGTCCTCTTATCTGTGGTGGGTCATACATATTTTGTAGGCCCCCCAGTCTGGATGACTCCATCTCGTTATGCCCTTGTGCCTCTGGGTATGATAGGAGTCTGGTACAGCTACTCACCTGCCCATATTTCGCTTGCTTGAGGACCCTGACCTGGCCATCCAGCCGCATTTATGACTGACAAATCATCTGGGGTTGGAAATGGACAGCCACCTGAGCGCAGTGGTGACAGCTGAGATTCAGAGTGCGTGGTGGTTTCAAATTGCTGTATCTTCTGGTAAAATGAGGCTTTTATCTTAATCAAGTGACCCTATCTATGTTCATTTTTTGCCCCAAAGCTTATTTTATCTGATGTTAATATTGATACTGATATAATTAATAGATCATTACATCAATATTATCTATAATCATTTCCTTAGGAGGATTTAATCCACTTCCATTTTTCTTCCTTTTTTTTGGAGAGAAATATAATTCACATACCAGAAAATTCACTTTTAGAGTATATAATTTGGTGATTTTAATATATTCACAAAATTGTGCAACCATCACCACTATCTAATTCCAGAGCATTTTCATCACCCCAAGAGGACACCCTTTAGCAGTCACTTCCCATTGCCCACCACCACTCTATCCCCCGGTAACCATACTTTGCATCTGTGAATTTGCCTATTTTGGACATTTCATATAAATGAAATTATGTGTGTGGCCTTTTGTGTCTGACTTCTTCCACTTAGCATAAGGTTTTCAAAGTTCATCCATGTTGTAGCATGTATCGTTTACTTCATTCCTTTTTAGGGCCAAATATTATTCCATTGTATGGATATACCGCATTTTGTTCATCCATTCATCAGTTGATGGACATCTGGGTTGTTTCCACTTTTTGGATATTATGAGCAATGCTGCTGTGGACACTTGTGTACAAGTTTTTGTGTGACCATATGTTGTCAGTTCTCTTGAATATATACCTAGGATGAAATTGCTGGGTCATATGGTAACTCTGTGTTTAATTCTTTAAGGTTCACTGTTTTCTAAAGTGGCTGCACCATTTTACATTCCCATGGGCACTGTATGAAGGTTCCAGTTTCTCCATAGCCTCATGTACACTTGTTATTGTCCATCTTTTTTATTACAGCCATTCTAGCAGGTGTGAAGTGGTATCTCATTGTGGTTTTGGTTTGCATGTCCCTAATGACTAATGATGTTGAACATCTTTTTATGTGCTTATTGGCCATTCGCATCTCTTCTTTAGAGAAACGTCTATTCAAGTTCTTTGCGCATTTTTTAATTGGGTTGTTTGTCTTAATATCTTTTGATTTAACTGTTCTTTATAGATTCTGAATACTACACCTCTATCAGACATATAATTTGCAAACTTTTCTCCCAAAGATAATTCTGGATGATGTCCTTTGATGCATGAAAGTATTGAATTTTAATGAAGTCTGAGTTATCTATTTTCTCTTCTGTTGCTTGTGCTTTTGAAGGAATATTTAAGAAACCACTGCCTAATCCAATGTCATATCATAATCCAATATCATGTCATCTGTGAAAAAGCATAATTTTACTTCTTTCTTTCCAACCTGATGCCTTTTATTTCTTTTTCTTACATAATTGCCCAGCTAGAACCTTCAGTACAATGTTGAATAGAAGTGGCAAAATAGACATTCTTGTCTTGTTTCTAGTCTTTGGAGTAAAGTCTTCAGTCTTTCACCTTTAAGTATGATGTTAGCTGTGGGATTTTTGCAGATTCCCTTTATCAGATTGAGGAAGTTCTCTTCTACTCCTAGTTTTGTTGAACATTTTTACCACGAAAGGGTATTGGATTTTTTCAAATGATTTTTCTGCATCTATTGAGATGATCATGTGGGGCTTTTTTTTCCTCATTCTATTAATGTGGTGTATTACATTGATTGATTTTCATATGTTGAACAACTCTTGTATTCTTGGAACAAATCATTCTTGGTCACGGTAAAATTCATTTTAATATGCTACTGGATTTGGTTTGCTAGTATTTTGTTGAGGATTTTTGCAACTGCATTCATAAGGAATATTGGTCTGTAGTTTTCTTTCCTTATGATATCTTTTGCTTTGGTATCAGGACAATGCTGGCCTCATAGAATGAGTTGGCAATTGTCCCTCTTCTTCCATTTTTAGGAATAGTTTGAGAAAGACTGGTATTATTTCTTCTTTAAAATTTTGGTAGAATTCATCTGGTCCTGGGCTTTTCTTTGTTAAAATTTTTTGATTATTGATTGTTTCTACTTATTTGTTATAATTCTCTTCAGATATTTCATTTCTTCTTGAGTCATTTTTGGTAGTTTGTGTGTTTCTAGTAATTTTTCCATTTCATCTAGGTTATCTAATGTATTGGTATACAACTGTTCATGTTCATAGTATTCTGTAATCCTTTTTACTTCTGTAAACTCAGTTGGTAGTAATGTCTCCACTTTCATTCCTGATTTTAGAATTTGAATCCTCTCTCTGCCCCCGTATCTCTCTCTCTCTCCCTCCCTCTCTCTCTGGCTCTCTCTCTCTCTCTCATCAGACTAGAACATTTGTCAATTTTCTGACCTTTTCAAAGGACCAAGCTTTGATTTTGTTTATTTTCTCTATTGTTTTTCTATTTCATTTATCTCTGCTCTAACCTTTTTTATTTCTTTTCTTCCATTTGCTTTGCTCTTCTTTTTCCTAGTTTATTAGAGGGGAAGGTTAGGTTGTTGGTTTGAGACCTTTCCTCTTTTTAATGTAGGCAATTACAGTTATAAATTTCCCTCTGAGCACTGCTTTCACTGTATCTCATAAGTTTTGGTATGCTATGTTTTCATTTTTGTTCACCTCAAGTATTTTCTAATCACTCCCCTGATTTCTTCTTTGACCTACTGATTATTTAGGAGAGTGTTGTTTAATTTCCATATATTTGTGGATTTTCCAAATTTCCTTCTGTTATTGGTTTCTAGTTTCATTGCACTTTGGTTGGAGAACATACTTTGTATGATTTCAGTCTTTTAAAATTTATGGAGATTTATTTTTTTTAGCTAGATAATTATTGAATGTTTTACCATTCAATAATTATCTTTTTAGTTAAGCTGAGGTTTAACTGTTCATTGAGTTCCTATTTCCAATTATTTATTTTGCATTCGAGAAATCAAGGCAATATTTGTTTTTCAAATTTGCTTAATTATTTCCATAGTTTATTGTTCCTATGTAAACGTGTTCTTTTTTTATATTTAACATGTTAAATATGCTTATTGTGTATTCTATATCTGATACTTCCAATATCAGTGTCTTTTCAAGTCTAGTTCTGCTACTGTCATTTCTTCTGCTTCTCACTCTTGGTGACTTGTTTCTCATTGTTTTATTACGTTTACATTATGATCTTTTGTTTGACTGATCTTAATCTGTGGGAATCAGGAACCAAGCTCTCAGTCTGGTAGAAGCCAATACCTAAAAACAGGCTAGGCATTCTCTCTCTCTCAAAAAAAAAAAAAAAAAAGTGGCTAATGCTCAACAATTGCTGGTATTTTTTACTACAGAAAGCCAGCGGTCACTTCTTTTTCTCTTTGGGTTTTACATGGTGCCAAACTCTGCTTATAGTAATCACTGACACCACCACATTACGTTTTTATTAGAGACACAGAAACCAAAGGACCGACCAGTTCTTTTTGGAGTAGATTTTCCCAAAGCAGACCCCATTCAAAGACAGCAACGTTTATTACTTCCTCTAAATATGAACTTCAGCAAGATTCCCATAAAAGGGATATACTAGCATCAGAATCCAATTAGCCTATTCACTTGTTGAAGGGGGAAAACATAAAAGTTTTCCCTGAGATTTGGTGAGACTATTTCAAAAACACCAGCCCTGAGGAACTTCCACTGGCTGTAAGTCTCTAGATCCCAGGTGACTCCCAGTAAAATAATTTTCACTGATGTTTCATGGTTATCATGACATTATTTTAGTGGACTAATTGCATTTCTACTCCTAGAAGATCCAATTACCTGTGAATAGGATTGTGACAAATTGAAGATGACTATACATATCCCCTAGTCAACCATGTCAATCAGCTGTTCCTTCCAGGTGAAGGCAAACTGCTTTAATTAGTGTGGACATGCAGGGACCAAGGAAAATGCA